TCAAACAGAGACCCATAGACTCACACAGGGACCCATAGACTCACGCAGAGACCCATAGACTCACACAGAGACCCATAGACTCACACAGAGACCCATAGACTCACACAGAGACCCATAGACTCACACAGAGACCCATAGACTCACACAGAGACCCATAGACTCACACAGAGACCCATAGACTCACACAGAGACCCATAGACTCACACAGAGACCCATAGACTCACACAAAGACCCATAGACTCACACAGAGACCCATATATTGTTGTCCTTCCCCCGCATCTCCGATTAACACGGTTGTCTACGTACGCTGCGAAAGAAGTTCAACATACAACGTAATGCAAAAAAAGTTGGTTTTTGAGTCAAACCCCGGCCCTAAATGGTGGCGGCAGTTCATGGTATTGCAGTGGGGCTGGTGGTGAATTTTGACCCCGTCACTGCGTGCCCCCGTCACTGCGTTTCCTTGTGAAATCTGGATTCATCACGACACCACCCATGCACCCAGGGGCACTGCCACACCCGTCGCACCACATTGGACCACAATGCACCACTTCTGAAAGTGCAACGGTAGCAACTCCTCCGGTCGCGATGACGCCCTCGATGTTGATTTCGTTAAAATCACGCGACGGGAATTTCTTTTCTCGTCGCGAGGCAGAGAGAGAGAGAGAGACGCCCTTCGCTGGCCTTCTTTGGTGTTGTTTACGTGTACATAAAGGATTTTGAAAAGAGATGCCAATCCGTGGAAAATCTTTGCCGAGCCGATCGCTGTCGCCAGATCCGGGGGCATTGGCTCAGTCGCTGGGAAAAGAGGCGAGAAGCAAACGCCTTAAAATCACGATCTCCCCCTTCAACGTTGATCTCGGCGCAGCGTAACGCAGCGAGGTGCAAGGCACCTTGCTACCTCCTGGGAGCGTGCATTCCGAATTCCATGAAAACACTTTTGGACCGCGCGTTGTTTCGTCCTCGCCAAACAACGAAAAATTTGTCATAAAGCTCGTTTCAAATTCAACGGTCTGCGGGCGGCGCAGAGGTTAGAAACGCTGAGCTTTGCTTGCTTGCTTGTTGTTGTTTTTCGAGCCAATACCTTCTGTTTAATGAGGGTCCCTGCCGCCAACGTTTTCACAGTCGGGGGCGGTGGAGGTGGCGATGTTGTTCCGCGTTCATCCATAAATGAGCGACGATTTGCGGGTGATTTTTCAGCGTTAGGATGTTCGGCCAATAAGCAGCTTGAAAAAAACTGCTTGAGATCTTGAGTTTGGATCCAGGCAGATGCCTGCGATCAAAACCGTGTTCTCAAGTGTCGTGAGTTGATTGTCTCGGCCCGGTCACCATTGACCGCATGAAGAAAGAAAGAAACATACAAATATAGAAAGACATAAAATTTGCCTCTGCACTTTAATGGGCTAAATTCCAGCTCTGGGAATTGAAAAAAGATAATATCGGTGGATTCTGTCGTGCGATTTAAACGCGACTCGAAGAATAGGTCTCAGAGGTAGCTCTGTCGTATCCGCTTCCGTGGGTTCGTTCTTTAACACAAAGGAGTGGTGGGGGGGGGGGGTGGTGGTTTGGCGCAGCCTCCAGCGATAAAATCCAAAGGGATCCCCTGTCGTCTCGTGTCTGCCGAAGAAACTGCAATAACTTTTTGGGGCAAGAGGCAGAAAAGAGAGCAGGGAAGCGTCATTTGTTTCTTTATTTCTTTCTTTAAAAGCTCGCGTGAAAATTCACGCTCGAATGCTACGCAAAAAAAAATGGCCTGCCGTGACGTAGACAAAGTAGGACTTCGGGTCGAGAGTTCAATGCCGGGTGCTTCTCATTGCACGGTGCCCTACGCGTAACTTGAGCAGTGGCCGATATGTGAGGTGCGAGCACTACGGCTAAGACGCATTAGTCCCCCGGCATTCTCCAACCGTCCCTTCGCCGGGTAAAAAAGCAGCGCCCGGAGGCCCAAAAATAAAAAAGAACAACGCTTCATGCGTACACACCGCTGGCACCGACAAGCCGGACGCCGTGGCAACCCCCCCCCCCTAAAAAATAAACCGCGCTCTTCGGGACCTCCAGGAAACAAAGTATAACCCGGTCTCCGAAAATAACGCAAAGTCTTTGCGGTGTTGGCGGGGGGAGGCAGGAGAACAAAGCTCCACTTTCATGGAAATTAAATGTCGCTCCAAGTGACGTCGCGGTTCGTTCAGAATCAGATTCTTTATTTTTATTCCAGGATATTTAATTGTGCTGGAGGAATCCGATGAGCCATCAAGCTCTTTTTTTACCGATGTCCAGTCAGTTGGGGTGTAGAGCAGAGGTCGCAATCGGGTACCCGATACCCGTACGCTACCCGATAGCCGGCTACCCGTACCCGGCCGGGTACGGGTAGCCGTTTGCGACCCTGGTGCGGCCGGGTACGGGTACGGGTAGGCCGTGAGTCACTGGTGAGTAACCGTTTGTCACTCATTTCCCAAAGTCTTGTCTCTTCTCACAATTCAAGTTGCTAGAATCAGCACCTGCAACATGGCTTCATCCCAGAGGTCGCAATCAGGGACCCGATACCCGTACCCTACCCGTACCCGGCCGGGTACAGGTAGGGTACGGGTACGGCCGGGTACAGGTACGGGTACCCGTTTGCGACCCTGGTGCGGCCGGGTACGGGTAAGGAATCAAAACCCGTTTGTGACCTCTGGTGTAGAGAGAAGCCCGGCTTGATGGGTAGCGTGTCGCGTTTATTAAAATAAAAGAAAAAAAGAAAATTTTTTTTTTTAAACCACGTAGCCCCCAGCCGGTTCCCCGAGGTAGCGCTCGCTGATATCAATTAATGGGTGCGTAGATTTATTCTTATTATGATGTACTCCTTTGAGAAGATAAGGATAGTGTCTCGTAAGAATCCCCCCTGTGTTCATGTTAACCCATTGCTCATAATAAAGTTTTTTGGGGTTATATTGCGTTAGTATAAATGTGCCGTAACCCTCCACCACCCGACACAGCCAATAGGTCTTGACTTAAAGCTTTCGTGACTGCAGGAATACACATTCTATGGGTCTTTCGGTAAAGCCACGTAGATAGAAAACTAAAAAAATAGAGACGTTTCGATCGCAACACAAGAGACGATGGCTTGTGATGCGATCGAAATGTCGTGATATTTTTCTTATTATTATTTTATCTACGTGGCTTTACCGAAAGACCCATAGAATACAGCCAATAAGGTTTGTCACGTAAACTGAACGCGCCAATTAGTGTACTGCTTCAGCCCACCGGTGTGTTGGAGAGTAAATCCTACAATTGTACATTGTAAATGTTGCGTATTTTAGTAACTAATTGGCTCGTTTTGTTTACGCGACGAACCTTGCTGGCTGCGTCGGGTGGTGGAGGGTTCACGACACGTTTATGCTTACGCAATATAACCCAAAAAACTTTTATCATGAATAATATTGGTCGCTGAAGCCTACATGTTGAACTAACCCGTTACTCTTTGCATTTATTTCTTCACTGACTAGGCAAACTTAACACTTTACAATGTCGATTTAAATCTTTCGTGACTGCAGGGATTCATCTTCTTGGTTCTTTCGGTAAAGTCACGTAGAATGGAAATAATATTATATTATTATATTATTATGTTATATTTTTATAATTTTATTATTTCCATTCTACGTGACTTTACCGAAAGAACCAAGAAGACTATACAGTGTGTGTGTGTGTTCGTGAGAGAGCGACTTTAACATCTGTTACCGTAAACACACACCGGCCACCGATTTGAATGTCCTACGCTCGGAGCGCGTGCCATTCTCCTCTCCATCAATCTCCATTAAAAATGTAACACTCCTAAGCAATGAAAGTGAAGCCATTTCAATGTTCCATCTCCTTTATTAGTATCGGTAATATGCGACCGACGTGGAATACCACTGGCTCATTATAAATATGAACTGCATTTCGATGTAAAGCTTCTTTCGTGACTGCAGGGATTCATCTTCTTGGTTCTTTCGGTTAAGTCACGTAGAAGGGAAGTAATGAAATAATAAAAATTAAACATAATAAAATAATTCTCACGACGTTTCGTCCGTCGAGGCAACAGAGTCTGTCGCCTCGACGGACCTGGTTTTCACAAACGTCGTGAGAATAATTTTATTGTTTTATTTTTATTATTTTATTACTTCCCTTCTACGTGACTTAACCGAAAGAACCAAGAAGAAGAACTGCATTGTTTATGATACGGATGGGGGGGCCGTTGCAGCTACTTTTGTGTTGATTATTTTTTTTACAGATACATATTTTAAAAAATTTACCAACCACAGATTCGCCAACTCGTAATAATAACAAACGAGCATCTTTATAGAAGCATCCCGCTTTGAATGTTTTGCCAACTCCTTTGTTTTGCCATTACTGTGATTTATTAATTCGCTCATTTCCCCCGGGAGAGTGTCGCTGAGTCTCAAGGGTCTTTTTCAGGAGGGTCCTGCCAAGTTTTTTTTTTTTGCGGTGGGGGGGGCAAGATGATAACTACCTCCCCTGGTATGCAGGAGGTCATGGGGTTGATCCTGACCCCCGATGCCTGCTGTATATTTGGACCTTGCTTGCCTCTTCCCGTGGCCGCGTGGATTTGTCTCCGGGTCCTCCGGTTTTCCCCCCTCACATTTACAATCGACGTCGCGCGTTTGGAGGAGTTGGCGGCCGTACATCTCCACACGATGACGATAAGCCACTTCGTTGAGCTATCGTTCGTGGCCGCGGCGCTTCTGAAAAAGAGCTACGTGGCTCAATGGGCCTGCACTTGCCGGAGGGAAAAACCGGAGGCCCTGGATACAAATCCATCCGAGCACGGCGAGAGAGACACGCAAACTCCAAATACACATGTGTCAGGGTCGGGATGGAACCCACGACCTCCCGCATACCAGGCGAGGTAGCTAACATCTCTGCACCGCCAGATGTTCAATAGTTTTTTTTGCCATCGCCGCCATCGAATGCGCGGAGCCAACGGCGATCGCCGCCCGTCTCTCCGTGTCTGTCGATGAGCAAAGAAGCTGGAGGCCAAGGAAGACGGATCCGCTGTGATCGAGACCGAGGGAGACATCACCGAGGCCATCATCGACCAGATAATACGGGGTGAGTTGGACGCTGCTGCCCCATTACAGACCCCTCCCTCCCCTCCCTCCCTCCCCCTCTCTTGTCGTGATCCCCTTGCACAGGCGGGCGGCTACCTGCAGCTCTGGAGCCGCATGCGTCTCTTTGGCTGCCCCCCCCCCTTGTGTCTCTTTGACTGCCCCCCCCTTGTGTCTCTTTGGCTGCCCCCCCCCTTGTGTCTCTTTAGCTGCCCCCCCTTGTGTCTCTTTGGCTGCCCCCCCTTGTGACTCTTTGGCTGCCCCCCCCCTTGTGTCTCTTTAGCTGCCCCCCCTTGTGACTCTTTGGCTGCCCCCCCTTGTGTCTCTTTGGCTGCCCCTCCCTCGTGTCTCTTTGGCTGCCCCCCCTTGTGTCTCTTTGGCTGCCCCCCCTTGTGTCTCTTTGGCTGTCCCCCCCTTGTGTCTCTTTGGCTGCCCCCCCTTGTGTCTCTTTGGCTGCCCCCCCCTCGTGTCTCTTTGGCTGACCCCCCTTGTGTCTCTTTGGCTGCCCCCCCTTGTGTCTCTTTGGCTGCCCCCCCTTGTGTCTCTTTGGCTGTCCCCCCCTTGTGTCTCTTTGGCTGCCCCCCCTTGTGTCTCTTTGGCTGCCCCCCCTTGTGACTCTTTGACTGCCCCCCCTTGTGACTCTTTGACTGCCCCCCCCTTGTGTCTCTTTGGCTGCCCCCCCCTTGTGTCTCTTTAGCTGCCCCCCCTCGTGTCTCTTTGGCTGCCCCCCCTTGTGTCTCTTTAGCTGCCCCCCCCTTGTGTCTCTTTGGCTGCCCCCCCCTTGTGTCTCTTTAGCTGCCCCCCCTTGTGTCTCTATAGCTGCCCCCCCTTGTGTCTCTTTGGCTGCCCCCCTTGTGTCTCTTTAGCTGCCCCCCCTCGTGTCTCTTTGGCTGCCCCCCCTTGTGTCTCTTTAGCTGCCCCCCTTGTGTCTCTTTGGCTGCCCCCCCTTGTGTCTCTTTAGCTGCCCCCCCTCGTGTCTCTTTGGCTGCCCCCCCTTGTGTCTCTTTAGCTGCCCCCCCTTGTGTCTCTTTAGCTGCCCCCCCTTGTGTCTATTTAGCTGCCCCCCCTTGTGTCTCTTTGGCTGCCCCCCCTTGTGTCTCTTTAGCTGCCCCCCCTCGTGTCTCTTTGGCTGCCCCCCCTTGTGTCTCTTTAGCTGCCCCCCCTCGTGTCTCTTTGGCTGCCCCCCCTTGTGTCTCTTTAGCTGCCCCCCCTTGTGACTCTTTGGCTGCCCCCCCCTTGTGTCTCTTTGGCTGCCCCCCCCCCCTTGTGTCTCTTTGGCTGCCCCCCCCCTTGTGACTCTTTGGCTGCCCCCCCCCTTGTGTCTCTTTGGCTTCCCCCCCCCTTGTGTCTCTTTGGCTGCCCCCCCCCTTGTGACTCTTTGGCTGCCCCCCCTTGTGTCTCTTTGGCTGCCCCCCCCTTGTGTCTCTTTGGCTGCCCCCCCCCTTGTGACTCTTTGGCTGCCCCCCCTTGTGACTCTTTGGCTGCCCCCCCCTTGTGTCTCTTTGGCTGCCCCCCCTCTTGTGTCTCTTTGGCTGCCCCCCCCCTTGTGTCTCTTTGGCTGCCCCCCCCTTGTGACTCTTTGGCTGCCCCCCCCTTGTGACTCTTTGGCTGCCCCCCCTTGTGTCTCTTTGGCTGCCCCCCCCTTGTGTCTCTTTGGCTGCCCCCCCCTTGTGTCTCTTTGGCTGCCCCCCCCCCTTGTGTCTCTTTGGCTGCCCCCCCCTTGTGTCTCTTTGGCTGCCCCCCCTTGTGTCTCTTTGGCTGCCCCCCCCCCCTTGTGTCTCTTTGGCTGCCCCCCCTTGTGTCTCTTTGGCTGCCCCCCCCCCTTGTGTCTCTTTGGCTGCCCCCCCCTTGTGTCTCTTTGGCTGCCCCCCCCTTGTGTCTCTTTGGCTGCCCCCCCCCTTGTGTCTCTTTGGCTGCCCCCCCTTGTGACTCTTTGGCTGCCCCCCCTTGTGTCTCTTTGGCTGCCCCCCCCTTGTGTCTCTTTGGCTGCCCCCCCTTGTGTCTCTTTGGCTGCCCCCCCCCTTGTGTCTCTTTGGCTGCCCCCCCCCTTGTGTCTCTTTGGCTGCCCCCCCCTTGTGTCTCTTTGGCTGCCCCCCCCCTTGTGACTCTTTGGCTGCCCCCCCTTGTGTCTCTTTGGCTGCCCCCCCCCCTTGTGTCTCTTTGGCTGCCCCCCCCTTGTGTCTCTTTGGCTGCCCCCCCTTGTGTCTCTTTGGCTGCCCCCCCCCCTTGTGTCTCTTTGGCTGCCCCCCCTCCTTGTGACTCTTTGGCTGCCCCCCCCCCTTGTGGCTCTTTGGCTGCCCCCCCCCTGGTGACTCTTTGGCTGCCCCCCCCCTTGTGTCTCTTTGGCTGCCCCCCCCTTGTGTCTCTTTGGCTGCCCCCCCCCCTTGTGACTCTTTGGCTGCCCCCCCCCCTTGTGACTCTTTGGCTGCCCCCCCCCTTTGACTCTTTGGCTGCCCCCCCCCTTGTGTCTCTTTGGCTGCCCCCCCCCCTTGTGTCTCTTTGGCTGCCCCCCCCCTTGTGTCTCTTTGGCTGCCCCCCCCCCTTGTGTCTCTTTGGCTGCCCCCCCTTGTGTCTCTTTGGCTGCCCCCCCCCCTTGTGTCTCTTTGGCTGCCCCCCCCTTGTGTCTCTTTGGCTGCCCCCCTTGTGTCTCTTTGGCTGCCCCCCCCCCTTGTGTCTCTTTGGCTGCCCCCCCTTGTGTCTCTTTGGCTGCCCCCCCCCTTGTGTCTCTTTGGCTGCCCCCCCTTGTGTCTCTTTGGCTGCCCCCCCCCCTTGTGACTCTTTGGCTGCCCCCCCCTTGTGTCTCTTTGGCTGCCCCCCCTTGTGTCTCTTTGGCTGCCCCCCCTTGTGTCTCTTTGGCTGCCCCCCTTGTGTCTCTTTGGCTGCCCCCCCTTGTGTCTCTTTGGCTGCCCCCCCCCCCTTGTGTCTCTTTGGCTGCCCCCCCTTGTGACTCTTTGGCTGCCCCCTCCTTGTGTCTCTTTGGCTGCCCCCCCCCTTGTGTCTCTTTGGCTGCCCCCCCTTGTGTCTCTTTGGCTGCCCCCCCCTTGTGTCTCTTTGGCTGCCCCCCCCCTTGTGTCTCTTTGGCTGCCCCCCCTTGTGTCTCTTTGGCTGCCCCCCCCCTTGTGACTCTTTGGCTGCCCCCTCATTGTGTCTCTTTGGCTGCCCCCCCCCTTGTGTCTCTTTGGCTGCCCGCCCTTGTGTCTCTTTGGCTGCCCCCCCCCCCTTGTGTCTCTTTGGCTGCCCCCCCCTTGTGTCTCTTTGGCTGCCCCCCCTTGTGTCTCTTTGGCTGCCCCCCCCTTGTGACTCTTTGGCTGCCCCCCCCTTGTGTCTCTTTGGCTGCCCCCCCTTGTGTCTCTTTGGCTGCCCCCCCCCCCCTTGTGACTCTTTGGCTGCCCCCCCTTGTGTCTCTTTGGCTGCCCCCCCTTGTGTCTCTTTGCCTGCCCCCCCCCCCTTGTGACTCTTTGGCTGCCCCCCCTTGTGACTCTTTGGTTGCCCCCCCCCCTTGTGTCTCTTTGGCTGCCCCCCCCTTGTGACTCTTTGGCTGCCCCCCCTTGTGACTCTTTGGCTGCCCCCCCCCCTTGTGACTCTTTGGCTGCCCCCCCCTTGTGTCTCTTTGGCTGCCCCCCCCCTTGTGTCTCTTTGGCTGCCCCCCCTTGTGACTCTTTGGCTGCCCCCTCCTTGTGTCTCTTTGGCTGCCCCCCCCCTTGTGTCTCTTTGGCTGCCCCCCCTTGTGTCTCTTTGGCTGCCCCCCCCCTTGTGTCTCTTTGGCTGCCCCCCCCTTGTGTCTCTTTGGCTGCCCCCCTTGTGTCTCTTTGGCTGCCCCCCCCTTGTGACTCTTTGGCTGCCCCCCCCTTGTGTCTCTTTGGCTGCCCCCCCTTGTGTCTCTTTGGCTGCCCCCCCTTGTGTCTCTTTGGCTGCCCCCCCCCTTGTGACTCTTTGGCTGCCCCCCCCCTTGTGTCTCTTTGGCTGCCCCCCCTTGTGTCTCTTTGGCTGCCCCCCCCCTTGTGACTCTTTGGCTGCCCCCCCTTGTGTCTCTTTGGCTGCCCCCCCTTGTGTCTCTTTGGCTGCCCCCCCCCCCTTGTGACTCTTTGGCTGCCCCCCCCCCTTGTGACTCTTTGGCTGCCCCCCCCCCTTGTGACTCTTTGGCTGCCCCCCCCCCCTTGTGACTCTTTGGCTGCCCCCCCCCTTGTGTCTCTTTGGCTGCCCCCCCCTTGTGTCTCTTTGGCTGCCCCCCCCCCTTGTGACTCTTTGGCTGCCCCCCCCCTTGTGACTCTTTGGCTGCCCCCCCCCCTTGTGACTCTTTGGCTGCCCCCCCCCCTTGTGTCTCTATGCCCCCCCCCCCTTGTGTCTCTTTGGCTGCCCCCCCCCTTGTGTCTCTTTGGCTGCCCCCCCCCCTTGTGTCTCTTTGGCTGCCCCCCCTTGTGTCTCTTTGGCTGCCCCCCCCCTTGTGTCTCTTTGGCTGCCCCCCCCTTGTGTCTCTTTGGCTGCCCCCCCTTGTGTTTCTTTGGCTGCCCCCCCCCCCTTGTGTCTCTTTGGCTGCCCCCCCTTGTGTCTCTTTGGCTGCCCCCCCCTTGTGTCTCTTTGGCTGCCCCCCCTTGTGTCTCTTTGGCTGCCTCCCCCCCTTGTGACTCTTTGGCTGCCCCCCCTTGTGTCTCTTGGCTCCCCCCCCTTGTGTCTCTTTGGCTGCCCCCCCTTGTGTCTCTTTGGCTGCCCCCCTTGTGTCTCTTTGGCTGCCCCCCCTTGTGTCTCTTTGGCTGCCCCCCCCCTTGTGTCTCTTTGGCTGCCCCCCCTTGTGACTCTTTGGCTGCCCCCTCATTGTGTCTCTTTGGCTGCCCCCTCCCCCTTGTGTCTCTTTGGCTGCCCCCCCTTGTGTCTCTTTGGCTGCCCCCCCCCTTGTGTCTCTTTGGCTGCCCCCCCCTTGTGTCTCTTTGGCTGCCCCCCCTTGTGTCTCTTTGGCTGCCCCCCCCCTTGTGACTCTTTGGCTGCCCCCTCATTGTGTCTCTTTGG